TATCACCAGGGCAAATAACACATTCTGGTTGTGAACAAACTCCGGCGTGAGACTATAAGACGGTTATTTCACAGAGCATCGGCATAAAGGAGCCGGGTTTCCTCGTCTGGATGCGTTCAAGTTGGAGCTCTGGCTCTATGAAATCATGTTTTACGTGTTTTATTAATACATTTAAAAAAAGTGGAGCTAAAATCAGATTTTAAAAGTGTAGAAATGCAAAAAACACGCTAAAATCTGATTTTAAAAGTGTAGAAATGCAAAAAACACAAATTCGGAATCATAAATTTGACCTCCATGGATCAGATTTCCTCTCTTTTTTGTTGTTTCCACGTCACACTGCAGCATCTTCTGTAAAAATCCTCAATTCTTATGTTAAAATACATAAAGCCACATCTCTCGTTATTAAAGTCGAGTATTTTCTGGTACTCCAGGTAATTTTTTTTGTAGTTGGGATCCCGATTGGGCCTTTTTCTGGTTATCCGATGGTTCGTATTCCTCAAAAAGTCCCTGGATTAATTGTCCTTAATGGTATAAGTCAATTATAGGTGTAGTCCCTTTAAAGTTAAATACACATGGCTTTAAAGAGAGGAAAATTCTGCATACTACAGCAAATTTCGAGTCCCTAATTAATCTGACGTGTTTCCGTTCCAGAGGAAAATATGTAATCATTTCTGACACCCGCCTCCATGCCTCTCCTGGACATTAACCTCCTGTTTTATTAAAATAAAAACACACTCATCTGTTTGTTAACAGACCCCCGGTCTCTGGGACTGACCGGCTCAGGTACGAGCCCCCGTCGCCATGGCAACGCGAGCCCCATCGGCACGTGTCCGCTCCTCCGGTGAAGTGTGAGCGTGTGGGAGGAAGCGTGGAGCTCTGGAGGTCTGTAGCTGGAAACCTGAGAGCAAACCAGAGTGGATAAAGTAAAAAAGTTTACATTTATTAGGACACAGTTAAGTATAAGTTCTGGTCTTTTTAGCTCAATTCTTTGCTTTGTTGCTGCATTTTTTGGTCATTTTAAGCCTTGTTTTGCTTTTTTGGTGTACTAATGTTAGCCAGATTCTTTAGTTGGAAACCTGAGAATAAACCAAGGTGGATCAAAAGTATAAAAATTACATTTATTGGACACAGTTAAGTATATCAGCTGGGTTCTGACAGACAAAAACCTCTCTCTGGGTCTCATTTGGCTAAAATGACAAATTTTAGCATTGTATGCTAACACATGATCTATGTAAATTACTGATTGTTTTATTTTATTTTGTGTTGAAGTCTCTGTCTGTGTCCACAGACTCTCCTTTTCTCTCTTTTTCTCTCTCTGTTGCATTAGATCCACCTTTAGGTCAACACACACACACACACACCATTTGTTAGCACATTCCTGTCGTCTGCATGAATTAGGACCTGGCCTGTTCCTGCCCAGAGGTAACTGGCCAATAGGACTTGGTTGTGTCCAGTCCTCCTGTGAGGAGGCGGATGGAGCCCAGGAGATAATGCCCATCACCCAGATCTCAGGGCTCTTTGCCTTTGATCTACTCTGGTTTATTCTCAGGTTTCCAACTAAAGAATCAGGTTAACAGTCCCGTAATCTGTTCTCTTCCTCTGAAGGAATCATTTAGTTTTGGGGAGCTTCTTTCCCATCATCTCCTCCTCAAGCCGCCTCTTTTTGTGAGGTTTCCTAATGTTCTCCAGAGCAAGATATAACTCTCCTGAATGAATGAATCCTTCATGTGTTCATAAACATTCTTTTCCATCCCTTCACAGACGTTTCTGTGTCAGCTGTCACTTTGATTCTGCGCTAATGTCCCTGTGAAACCAGCGGAGATGCATTTTAATGAGCCTCGTGTTTACATAAGTGTGTTGTCTGTGGCTCTGTACTCATTCAGGAGCAGAAGAAACCGCTGTAATAAACACAAAAAAGCCGGATCCGAACCCGAGAACGCAGCGTTCGGAGGCATCGTGGATGTCCTCCTGACGACCAGTGTTGGGTAAGTTACTTTAAAAATGTAATCTGTTACAGTTACAAGTTACCTTGTTTAAAATGTAATTGTAGTGTAACTTTTTCGATTACTTTTAAAAAAGTAATGTAACTAATTACTTTTGATTACTTTAAGGTTTTAATGAGTATTGACCCATGATTAATTTTAGCTTGTTATTATTATCCATTAGCCGCAGCTAGCAGTTCAAGGCTAACGTCTTGTTAATGATCATAAACAACGTAAATAAATACATAAAGAAATCGGAGACAAGGGGCGCAGTCGTATCCAGATACAACATTTTAGCATCTATACTTTTTTAAGTATCGATACTTTTGACAACCCTAGTCTGAAATGTAGGACTAGGGTTGTCCGGGAAAAAGAGGAGTTAGGTAGGCTAGATAGTCTAGGCTAGGCTAGGTCATAGACACCGATAAACGTTTGTCATGCATCAACACCAAACAGGCAAATATTAGTAAATCAATACGCTTCGTCGATCAGTGAGTTGCATATTTTGCAAAGGTTTTTCTTTATATTTTTTAAAAAATGTAACTAAATTTGTAATTCTTAATATTTTCAGAAGTCTTTCAAAAATTCTAAGTTCTTGGAAAAGCAGTTGAAAAATCTCCAACGGTGGTCAAAAAGAAGCAGAGGCAGCTGGGTCTCGGTCCACTATGGTTTATTGCAGCAATACAAGTCCACCACACATGAGATGCTAACCGGGCTAACATCTACCCTATTCCCTATTGAGAAAGTGGTCTGCTTATATAAAATCCCTCAGGAACTCGGAGACTCCTCCCCGAGTCCCTCCTATTTTGACATAATTTCAGGTATTTTTCCACCGGTAACTCTTGATGCATTTTTCATACCGGTGGAACTTTATCTAGGGGGTGTATTTTTTAAAATGGGCGTCTTAACCCCACCTTCCTGTTTACACGTCATTGTTTATTCTGGCCAATCCCATGGTTTTCTACACTGATACACGCCCCCTACCTTTCTCTCTTTGGTCTCTACTCGTATGGGATGATACACGTTTTGTTTTGCCTTTTGCCCCTTAAGATATGTTATACAGGACTGTCTCAGAAAATTAGAATATTGTGATAAGGTTCTTTATTTTCTGTAATGCAATTAAAAAACATGAAATGTCATACATTCTGGATTCATTACAAATCAACTGAAATATTGCAAGCCTTTTGTTGTTTTAATATCGCTGATTATGGCTCACAGCTTAAGAAACCCAAATATCCTATCTCAAAATATTAGAATATCGGATTTTTGAGTTTTCTTCAGCTGTACGTCATAATCGTCTATATTAAAACAATAAAAGGGTTGTATGACATTTCATGATTTTTAATTGCATTACAGAAAATAAAGAACTATATCACCATATTCTAATTTTCTGAGACAGTCCTGTATGTTTACGTGGCTGTTCCTTGTACCTACAGCTATGCACTGACCCTTAGACATCGCATATGTTTGCACAACTCGTTTTCTTGCACCTACAGGCACTTAGGTAAGATTTAACCTCCGGACCAAGTTCTTACACATCACACATCATTTTCTTATACAACCTTCTCTTGATACATGTTTAAGGCACACCATTAACTCATTGACTGGCAGCCATTTTCAGAACAGAGGGTCCCTCACTGCCAGAGTTTTTTGAGCATTTTGACTGATTTCTCAAGAGCCACAGAATAGTTTGTGCTATGACTATGTAAACACCGAACACACCAAAAGAAAGAGTAGACTCTCTTCTTTCATCAGGAAAAAAAATGTTTCTACCTTATTCCGTTCTTCCTGGATTTGCGTCTCACCGGCGACATGTTCTCTCATATCGAACCGTTACCTTTTTCTTATTTGCCTACAGTCTATGCTCATATCCCATCAAAAGTAGCACTGCCCCCTAGAGGGTCAATTTGTCACTACATACTCTGTCTAGAAGCCTATATTTACGGACAAACTTTAGCGGATCGTCCCCCAAGTCACTCTTGTTGAAAAACATAAAAGACGTCTATAGACGTCTTTGGCAGCCAATGAGTTAATCATTGTGATAAGAATATATTCATTGTGAGATATTAATCCGCTACAGAGGCTGATGGGAAACACCAGGTTGTGTCCTCAGAAGTGAATCATTGTTCACGAGCCCGGACGGGTTTTTTTTTTTCTCCATTCCGCCTGTCACCAAACCAGAGATGTCTGTTTCAGATTCAGCCTCGGGAGCCTCGTTCCTGCCCGTTTGGCTCTGGCTTTACGTCCCTCCACATCCCGCCCACTCTGCTCCAGCCTGGCTTATATTAGCTTTGTTTGTAAACACGAGATGCTGAGCGCTCTCAGTTTACAACGCTCCATATGGACATACACCTCCTATTCTAAAAGCTATCAAAGTGATTATCTTACTCAAAGTATTTGGCTGTTTAGTGTTAGAATTGGGCTATAATTACTCGCTTTAGCATAGTATGCTATAACTAAATCCATGTAAATGACTGATTGTCTTATTCATTTTTAGATTGATTTTATTCCCCTTTGAATTATACTTTTGGGTTAAACTCTCTAGCTTTTTTGTTTGAGTATAAAAATGTAGAAATATGCCATTACAGAGAGATGTATTTTCCACAGTGTTATGTGAAGAGCCCATCGATGTTTAAAATGGTTTCATTATTTCAGTCTGGAAAAAAGAAAATAATTTGTAAGTTGGGTGCCTTTTTGAAGTGGGTCCTCCCATTATAACGATGATGTTGTAGTTTTAATGTATATGTGTTACTTTGTTCTGTTATATTTGTTTGTGCTCCAAACCATGTATATGGTCATGAGCAATTAAAATAAAATAATTGAAATAGTGCCTCCTCCTCCTCTCTCTGTTACAGTAGATACTCGTCTTTAAAGTCAACATTCACACTTTCTTATCACATTCCACCTAAACCTGCATGAATTAGGACCTGGCCTGTTCCTGTCAGAGCTAACTGGCCAATAACACTCGTCCTCCTGTTGGAGGCCCAGAGGAAAACTGTCCATCACACCCGGAAATGGAGGCTTGTGACCATTAAATTTCATATTTGTTCTCTTGATCTGCTCTGGTTTATTCTCAGGCTTCCAACTAAAGAATCGGGCTAACATTAGGAAAAAAACATGGTCAAATAACCAGAATCGCTGTGCCATGCATATGGAAATTTGCTGTATTTTATCTGCACGTTTCACTTTTTATCTAGCTAATCTATTTTTTTGGTTCTTTTTCATTCTTTGTTTTTCTGCTTTTAAATTCTTGTTTTTTTTATTATTTCACATTCAGTTTTTAAACAGTTTCTTCAACTTTTTTATTCAGATAAAGTTATTTGTTTGATTTGTTTTGTGATCTCACTTTTGTCTCAATTCAAATTATTCATTGAATTCACATTGTGTCTCATTTCTTTATGCATTTTTAAAGTGCTTTATGCACAAAGATGGTTTTTCTCCACTTGGTTTGGTGCTCGGTTTGTTTCTGGTGAATGTTCCTTTGTATTGTTCCTTTGCGAGCCTTTGTATACATTATAAGTGAAATTCTGAGGTTTCACCAGCCCAGCAGACCACTTCTTTTGCAGTGGCAGGTCCTAAACTGTGGAACTCTCTGCCCACTGACTTACGTTCATTTACTGACCACTGCCACTGTTCAAAGCTCAATTTAAGTTCAGGATGGCTTTTTGCACATAAAAATCTCCGTATACTGGGTTCTGTCACCGATGTGTTTGTGTTTGTGTTTGTGCATGTTTGTCTTTGTATATTTCGATAGTTTGATCTGTTTTTATTCTGTAAAGCAATAGTGTAAAGCACTATTAGCTAGATAAAAAGTGAAACACAGGTTGTTGTAAAGTGCTATATAAATAAACATTGGTTGATTAATTGATTGATTCCTGTGCTCTTTTGCACAGATTTGGAGTGGAGTGCACGGGTGTGCAGGCTCCTTTATTCCGGCCGTCAACGGGAGTTGCACGGTGGGACGGGTCAGCTTTTGTGGTCCAGACCCTCTTGACCCCGTCACCCGTACCCAAAACCAGGGGTCAGATCCCCCCCAACAGTCAGGTCCAGACCTCATTAGCGTTCAGCCCGGATCCAGACTGTGATGGACAGCCTTCCCAGAGGAGCTGAGGCCGTTTTAGCTCCAGATTCCTGCCCACGGAGGGGACGCGCACGTGGACGCGCACGTGGACGCGCACGTGGCCGTGCACGCTCAGAAAAACACGATGTGTTCAAAAGTGGGCTTATGGATTGTGATTTCCACTCCGATCCTTTATCTTCTACTCACCTCTCTTCCCTCCATCTCTCCCTCTATCCTCTCTCTTTTTTTCTTTCTATCTTCCTCTCTTCCCTCCATCTCTCCCTCTATCTTCCTTCTCTCCTTCTTTCTATCTTCCTCTTTCTCCCTCCTCCCTCCCTCCCCCATCTGTGGGAAGCTGCCATTGTGCGCATGTCGTCGATGAGTCAATTTGTGGAGGCAGCACACACACACACACACACACACACACACACACACACACACACACACACACACACACACACACACACACACACACACACACACACACACA